AATTTAATTTTCAATAAATTAATTCTAAATTCAGAAAAAATATATTTAATCTCTATGATCAAATTGTTGGAGAAAATATTCATAGAAAATCATGTGAAAGCAGCTCGAAAAACACATTTGGAGAAAGACGAATGGAACGACAGATGCGAAGAACGAATGTGCGAATGCGAATGCGAATCAAAATGCAGAATGAATGCGAAATTACACGAAAATCTACAAATGGTTAGCTTTGTTAATTTCAATGCGAGCAGCACAAAGCAGGGCAGAGCGGCGTACGGTGGCCGGCCACAGTGGCACAGAAATCGCAAAAAAGTGGCACCAAAACTGACCACTGGCCTCCGCGCGATCGCGCGTTTGCTGTGTATTTACTAATGAGACGCTATGCGTGGGTGTGTACCGCATACACTGCTCGGAAGGCCTTGGTTTATGAGTGCAGTCCAAAATGCTCCAAAAAGTTTTACTTTCTAAATGTGCTCGATACACCCATACATACTTTGNCCGCGCGATCGCGCGTTTGCTGTGTATTTACTAATGAGACGCTATGCGTGGGTGTGTACCGCATACACTGCTCGGAAGGCCTTGGTTTATGAGTGCAGTCCAAAATGCTCCAAAAATTCTTACTTTCTAAATGTGCTCGATACACCATACATATGTACATACTTTGCTTCTTTTGCTACCCGCTATGAATGGAGGAGGGCGACTAAGAAATGGCATCAATATTTGCAGGCATAGATAGATACTATTTGTTGTACGTATGCATGTGTGTGTATGCTTGTTCGCTTTAAAACTGTGTAAAACGTATTTCGAAAGTGATTTTTCATTTAGAATGAATATATCGCTTAAAAATAGACTGCGACTACGATAGATTTTGGCAATTGACCAATAATTGAGGTAACGCGCGCAAAAATTCTAATTTAAATTAGCGATGATTGCGTTGGCAAAGACATAGCGCGGCGGGGTGGCGAGACCGTCTTGTTGTTGTTGAGCAGGCGTGGTGATGCAGCGTTTTATTTATTTTATTTTTTTGCTGCAATAATAAATTCAGCAGCTGTGCTCTTTCGGGCATAATTTTTCTTTCGACAATGTTATAAATTTCCGAATTAAAAGTGTCGACTATTATTTGTGGAATTGCTGAATGAGTAGCGTATTAAAGGAGAATAAACTAAAAATTTGGCATTTGTTTTATTATTTTTTAATTTATTTATTTAAATTAAAAATAAGTACACGTCCATTGAAAACTTTTTAGCAACACGTAATTTAGCTGTAGTCCTCGTATGTAGTCTTGGTTTTAAGAACAGTAAATTTATATTTTTTATTTAGTAAAAAACATAAAATATTTTATAGTATTTTAATTTTGATTTATTTGGGAACGACTTCTCGGTGTCATATTAGGCACTAGTAAATATTTCGATATACATATAGTTCATTCTGCATCAAATCTTATTACATTAAACGAGCAATTATTGTATATATTGGGCTCTTGGAAACTTCTCGAATGATCTTTATGAAATTTTGTACACAGATAATGTTTTGGATTTTAAGGTTATCTGAATAGGCATTATCTCCGAGAACACTCGTATAAGGTTGCCACCTATTAAAAATTAGTTACAAATAAATTAAAACATCATAAAATGGGTATCAAATGGAAGGTGTTTTAAAGATCACTAATTCAAAAGCATTTTTAATAGGGTTGCCACCTATTTTGAATCACATTTATTTACTTTTTTTGTTAAAGAAAAGGTAAAATAGTACTATTTATAGCTACCAAGAGCAGGTCCTTAAACAATGTTTTTCCTATATACAAAATCTTATCGCTTAGGATAATAGTGTAAGATTGCCACTTATTTTCGATTCTACATAATTTATCTAAAACATCGCAACATGGATATTAAATGAAAGGTATTGTTGAGAACTTTGGTCAAAAAACATTTTCCATCAGGGTTGCCGTGCTTCTATGTAATACAAATTTTTATTTTGTTAATTTCAATCAACATTTTTTTTTATGTATACACAGTACATAGCACTCAAGATATGTACCATTCATTCCAGCGTATTTCGGAATATGCTTGCCACCTAAATTTTAGAATAAGCATAGATAATAGATATCGAAATCCATTTTTTCCAAAATATTTTTTTAAAGCCATCCAAATCTTGAAAATTTTAAAAAGCATATGCACACCGGACAAAGCTCGAATCAACCTGGTACTGGCATATAAATCAATGATTCAATGTTTTTACAAAATTTAGGAAAATTCGACAAATTTGCAACTTTTAAAGCAACCCTCCAAAAATATGTTATAAAGCTTTCTGAAACCTCTATCGAATTGTTGAATATTTAATTTATTATTTATGTAAATTCAATTTAACTTTTTAAACATGTAGCAATCCCTCTCAAAAAAATTTGCTAAATTTTATCCAAACCCGTCTAGCTGTGTTTTAAAAAATGTTGAAAATAAATACAATACAATAAATTTTGATATCATTGCTAAATAAAAATAAAGCCAAAGTCTTAATTCGTTCCTTGCCCCGCTGACTCAAATTTTAGTTCAATAAGAAAAAAAAAATATATCCCAGGATAGCGCTGGGAAAAACTTTAGTATGAGCAGCCACACAAATACTAGCAAGCAAGCGCTCTTGCCAGTGTGATAGTTAGTGGCGAGCATGGTGAAGTGTTATTTAAAAATAAATGTTTAATTTTAGTTCTTCATCAGCGTTGCGTCTTTCAGCGCTCGACCATTCACTCTGCCAGAGCGCTACACATTATTTTATATAGACGAGATGCTTTAATGTATCCATCCACTCTGAGGATCTATGTAAGTATGTATGTACATACAACCATGCAGACAAATTGGCGGCTTCCCCACTGAAAAAAAAAACTTCTCAAGTTCTGTAAAGTATGTAGTATTACTAAATACCAAACAATATTGAACATCCTGTGGCGCAGTTTTGTTAGAATTCATAAGCGGTGTTCAAGAGAAGATTAACTACATACTCCCATACCACTGCAAACTTTTTACACCTACTAGCGAAGTAGCAATCAAGGTCCCCAAGGTATACCACCTCTAAATGCGTGCATGAGAGACTAACAGCCGTATTCTACAAAAGTCACAAACCTTAGCTCATCACTGCTGTGATTTCTACTGCGCCTCAAAGTTTACTGCTGCAACAAAGATGCCGTTACAACACAAATTTTCAAGTTTTTGTGTATTTTTCTAGCACTTAAAATTGAATTTTTGTGGCACTTTTTGCGGCGCACTAGAAATCATTACACAGTGATGAGCTAAGTGTTGGGACGCTGTTAGAATAGTGGGATAAGTTTTCTATGATCTCTTCGACAGCGCATTCCAGCGATTCCAACCGCCAACAAATTCTTCGACACGAAGAAGCTGATGCTCCATAGCACTTGCTGTGTGATTGGCATCTCGAAGAATGTGCTTCCGATTTCTGCGAGGCCTATTTCTACGAAATCGTAAAGCCTATAATTTTT